GTGCTGCCATCTCTCTCTCCAAGGGCCAAATTTAGATGAAATAATAAATAATACTCCAAATTTGCCTGTGTAGCTGGTGCCGAATAGGTGATGAGAGTTAGATTTGCCAAGACTGCATTGTGGTTCACAAAACTGATTTTAAGCAGGTTTGCAGAATGATGCTTTTCCCCTGAGAACTGCTTTTTAAAGAGTCTGTTGTGAGAATGTGTTTGGGGACTGTTTCGTAGATGAGACAGACTGTGGCAGGATGTCTGTTTTGGATGTCTCATACTCCGCGGTCTCCAACATGTGGCTTCTCTGGCCATGGTACCTGTCGGATCTCAGGGAAAGGTTTTACTACCAGGATTTTTAGTGTGTCCCAGCCTTCAGCCTTTATCTACTTGTATCCTCCCTAGAATCTTTTACTCCATTTCAATCTTCTGTAGTCCAGCTCCCCAAATACTCTCAATCATGGTTAAATGTGCATTCTGGATATGTTTTGTACATTATCTCTAATTTCTAACACGGGACTGCCAGGCATTTTTTTAAAAAAAAATCCATTTTATGATTAAGACGTTCAAATTCATCAGGAAAATTCATGAATCACAGACCATGTAGCTAGAAAAGTAGCCTTTGGTGATTCACACTTTGGACGGTCTATCTGCAGAGCCTCTGTCTTTCTTGGCTGGTTAAAGGGCACCATACAATGTATCACAGAAGAAGGAAATTCCAGAGCATAAGCTATTGTCAAGGTAAGTCAGTCCCAATGCAGTGTTTTCCATAAGCAGCATGATAAGCCTTGTGGATATTTCCTGTTGTTCATCTGTGGTCAGCCTTGAGTCACAGGCTGCTAATCCATCATTCTGGTTCAGTTCTGTTCCCTCCAGTGGATGGTGTAGATCAGTCTTTATATTTGCATGAAACAAGACATGAAGTAACTTCTAGTTTGGTTTATGTAGTAAGATTGGAAAGTTCAACAAAAAGCCCAAGTGGCTTTTCTGTAACTGGGCTATCACTGGCTAAGCAGGTAAGAGAAGGTTCAGAAAGCTAGACCTCTTAGGAAACAGGAAAACTACCTAGTTTAGTTTTTTTCATAATTATTTTTGTGTGTGGCTGACAGTCTCGAGATGAACAAGTTTCATGATCAAACTGAGAAATATGCATTGTGTTATTCTGAGTCTTTTTTTATTTACAACCTAAAGCTGTCAGAGGTATGAAGAGAAATTTTGTGTTGCTTAAAATAGCATACAATACCAACAATATTTTCAAAGTTTTACAAAATTACCACTTCAGTGAATTTTATGTGTGGCTATCAGAAGATGTGATAATGCCTTGGCTTCTTTACCTATTCCATGCTCGCAGATGCAGTACAGCAACACAATGCCCATATTCAACTCTTCTTACACCCCACTGTTAGCTCTTAGCTCACACTCTTGGAATGTGTGCTTCTTCCAGGCTCAAGGATTTTACTTTTCGTCTTTTTACAGAATGGGTTATTCTTAACGTCCCACCAAGAACACTTAAATAGAGTCACTGTCGTACCTGAAGAGTGTATCTGGTTATATTGACTAAAAACGAGAGTGTAAAAAGCCTTTGGTTATATTGATGAAAGGATTTACAAATGTTTGAAGTCTGCTCTATGTAACTGAGGGTCAGCAATGGCTTTAAAAACTGGAAGAAACAGACACTTTATTATTATAATGTTTGTTACCAGTCTTAGAAATTGCCAGCTATATTTCTGTACAGGAAATTTTTATTTTGAGGTGTTTTTCAGAGAAAGCACTTTCATTGCCTTTGTGTTTAATTACAGATTCACATCCCAGGCCTTGGCATCTCTCACATCTGTGTTAATATGTGCATGTCTATCTCTAGCTGAAGATACACATATATCGGATGTAGGTATGTGGTCAGTCCTCGGTAGCCATTCATGAAGTTGACCAACTAGAGCTAGAAATGGGGAAAGTATAAACATTATTATTATTATTATTCTCCCAGTGATACACCTGTTAACATAATGTTTACATTGTGTGGTGCATTGTAAGTTAACAATAGTTTCCACTATGCAGAAGCAGGTGTGCATCTTCTATAAAGATACCATGTGATTCTATATGAGACTTGGGCATCGGTGCGCTTTGCTTCCTTTCGGGGGCCTGGAAACAGTCCCAGGGATAGTAAGGACTGCCTGCCCAACCACACAGGCATGAATTTGTACTAGGATTTACCACTTATTTATGTACTTTTTCATCACCACTGATCTGTAGTTTTATTCATCAAGAATGAATTAAGAATGCTATCAAAGACATAGGCAGAAAATAAGAGCGCCAAGATCAGAATAGGCATACGACCCGGTCTTCCTCCATGTAGCTAAGCAGTTAATGATCACTTGGAGGCTGCACTGAGAAAGGGGCCTGTTTAAAGGGAAGGGTCCAGAACTACAAAGGGAAGGTGCACGTCTTGTCTGTTCTGATCACGGATCCAACCCTTGAAGCTCACAGATATGTCGGGAAAAGGTGAGGAGCATTTACAAGCAATCTGTCAATCTAGCAAGGACAGACTGACTTCAGAAGTGGCACCTTCCCCAAGATCATGTATTGCTCGGCTACCAGGAGCATGATTCTGCAGCATGTTTCTTGAAGGAACGAAAGAAAAGGAAGAGGATAAATGTGTGCATGACAGAGTTGGAGAACGGGCGAGTGTAAGAATTATGGTAAAATCAATAGAGGGATATGTAGATGTAACCAACCGTCTTACTAAATAAGAAACACAGAACCAATGCAAAGAAAGCCAAGAGATCAGAGCTAAGAGCCTTACCCTGCAGCTACTAGCCTCTTAAGCCAAGAGACCTCTCCGAAAGAGACCTACTTCCTGTGTGTTTGTCTTTATAGCCTTTCTGTTTTGCCTTCTCATTGGTTGTAAATCCAAACACATGACTGCCTCGTCACTGCCTGTCTGTAGAGACTTCCAGGTCTTCTATGGTTGGTATTGAGATTAAAGGCGTGTGTCTCCAATGCTGGCTGTATCCTTGAACACACAGAGATCTACCTAGCTCTGTCTACCAAGTGCTGGGATTAAAGGCGTGCGCCACCACCGCCACGCTCTTGCTATGGCTCTAATAGCTCTAACCCCCGGGCAACGTTATTTATTAACATACAATTAAAATCACATTTCAGTACAAAAAAAATACCACCATAGGGATGTGGGAGAGATGAGAAGGGAGACGGAGCCTAGAGTGGATATAACACTAATCCTGATCTTCCTTTCTTCTTCCTTCCTTCCTCCCTCCCACCATCCTTCCTTCCTTCCTTTTCTTCATTTTTTCCTCATTTTTATTCCTTTAACTCACTTTTGGTTGATTTGGTGAAGCCATTCCTTCTAGCTTTCTGACTGAGTAAGATCTAGGGAAACAAACAGAAATAACTTTGCTCGTGGCCAGATAGTGACTGGTAGGGACTTCTTTTGACAAGCAGTACTTGTGTATTCTGAGACGGTCAGAGGAGAGCTACGTTCTCCAGGATGCTGGCTCAGTTCGTAAGAGCAACAGTGGGGCCTGGTATTGCCAACCCATCACCTAGTCATCCCAGACACACCCATCCTCCTACCTCACTCATGATAATACATCCCTCCCCTCCAAGCACCCGACTTTCAGATTTTGATAACTCTGCCCACCTCAATGCCTATCAATCTGACTTCAGACTTTACATAACAGTGCTATGTTCATTTCCCAAAATAGAATCTAGTCTTCAGAACAGCTGTAAGTGGAACAGGCTCGCTGCTGTCAGATCTTAGGAAGAACTAGACTTCCATAGGCCAACTATAGCTATATATAAATAGGAACATGGAGTGGAGGAAGTCTAATTATGCAAAGAAGATTGGAAGGGATGTTGCCTACAGGAAGACCAGCTATCCCAAAGTGTCCCTGAAAATGGTAGACCCAATTCCATGTAAACCCTTCTGAAATTCTATCAAATCTTTTGTGAGTGTTTGAACTAAATTGTTTGATCAAGCCTGAGCTAGGAGAATTCTCCTCATTAACTTACTGGGGTTGAAACTAAGGCGCTAGGAGAGGTGTGAAGTGGTTCAGTTGGATTTGAAAGCATAGGTTGACCAGCTCACTCATACTGTAAGACACACATTAATGAGGGTTGAATATCATGCCAATGGCATAAGTGGACATCATTATCTTGTCACTTGGAGTTCCAGCATTTTGTATTGTGTGGTCTCTGGATAGTTGGACCCGTTTCTTCCTTCCATCCCACTCAGATTAAATAGATGACACTTTACCCAGGACACTAGGTGGCAGCAAATTGCTGAGCTAAACAATTAACAAGGGACAAACGTCCTTGAACCTGTTCACCAGAACTAAAAAAAGAGAAGATACCAGTGGCATGTGGATATAACCAAATGTATCAAAGAAGACATTACCACAAGCAGCTGCAAAGTTTCCAAGGCTTAACGATATCCCCAGTCTCTTTCTCGGAGTTTTGAAGCTCCTTGAGGTTAAATCTACCACCAAACTCTACAGAATTAGATTTACATATCTAATCAGCTTTAAGCATTTTCTGATGAAGATCATATCAGGTTTAATTACTTTTCTGGACTAAAAAGATATGCATTAATATATTACAGCTTTGATTATTTATCTTTAAAGGTTACCTATAAATCTGTGTAGTCAACTAATTTCTTTCTAACTCAAGATATGTTTATAGTGGCTGGAGAGATGGTTCAGTGGTTAGGAGCCCTGGCTGCTCTTGCAGAGAGCCTGGATTCTGCTCTCAGCACCCACACAATGGCTCCCAACTGTCTGTAATTTTAGTTCCAAGGTGATCTGATGCCCTCTTCTGGCCTCTATAGGTACTGTAGGCATGTGGTATATACACTTACATGCAGGCAAAATACCCATATCCATAAGATAAAAACAAATAAATCCTTTTTAAAAAAGAATATTTTTGTAACTGTTTTATATAGAAAAATTTTTAAAGATTTATTTATTTATTATGTATATAACATGTATGACTGCAGACCAGAAGAGGGCACCAGATCTCCTTACAGATGGTTGTGAGTCACCATGTGGATGCTGGGAATTGAACTCAGGACCTCTGGAAAAACAGTCAGTGCTCTTAACCTCTGAGCCATCTCTCCAGCCTCTTATATAGAATTTTTTAAGCAGATAACTAAGCCAACATAATCAGTATAATCTAGAACTGGGCTGAAACTGATTTGATTGATCTTCAACACTGTAAGAAAATAACAACAATAAGAACAGCAACAACAACAAAAAAAATGTATTGGCTGTCCAACTGTGCCCAAGTCAGCACTTGGTGTTTACTAAGACTATTTCCTGTGAAAGGTTGTAAGATTATCACTATAGTTTTAAACATAAAATACAAATTGGAGTGATTAAATCTGACCGTGGGAAACACAAAGACACGCACTTCATCAGTGCAAGCGACAGCTTATCCCTCAGCTCTGCCTGAAAAACGAGCAGGACAGAAAATTTGAAGTGTCTTAGCTGGTAGCCAGCTGAGGATAAATAAATGAGCCCTCAACAGGACGAAGAATGAACAAGCATGAGAAAAGAAAGAATAAAAATAGCACTCTGGCATTTGATGTGCTTCTAACTGGCTAGTTTTGAGCTCTAAGGAGATCCTAGGGCCATAGTGGTTCTAACCATAACCCTGAAGGGGAAATCAAACTTCCTAATGATGGAGGGGGCCTGGTGTTCTTTCAGAAGACGCCGTCTTTGAGGTGAATCTCTTACCCTTACTCTGCTTCGAACAAGGAGAGCTTTAGACATACTCTTTCTGTCCAAGAGGGACAGAAATCTTCCACTAGTGCCAGAGAGGGTCTCAGTGCTTAGCTTTCTGTCCAATGGGGACTCACATATTCACCAGTTCCAAAAGAGAGTACCACATCAGTCCCTGTTGTCCAAAGGAAACTCAGACACACCTTTTCTCAACTAGGGGACTTGAGCTCTTCCCTCTCTTACCAAGGGACAGATACAGCCTTCCAAAATGAATATCGGGCCCCCATATGTGAACCTTCTTTCCTAGGAGGCCACAGGTATTCTACCTAGCTGTGAGAGGAGAAAAACTTGAACTTCTGTGAATTAGTTTTTGAAGATTTTAGATTGATTTAGGCTATTTGAATTTTTAAATCCCTGCCAAGTCTGGAGAGTTATTTGTGGCCATTAGACTGTTGGACTAACATCACTAAAGATCATTGTGAAGTCCAAATGAAGAAATAGAACATAATTGTACTTACAGAAGAGGCTGAAAATATTCCTTAGTTCCATATAACTATCAAATAAAAATGAGTACACTTTGGGCCTCATGTGAGAACCCTGCATTCTCTATGTGGCTGTTTATTCCTTACACACCAACTGTATGAACATCAACAATATTCCACAAGTTGAAAGAGAGTGACAAAGCATTCCTCTTCCTTGTAAAATTCCTTATATTAGAATCATATGAAAGCATATAAATCATTTGCACTTGCACATATGTTGACTTTCATTATAAAGAAATGCTTTTTATTTCAAATTAGAATTGCCAAAAAAATTATACATATACTTGCTGAATAAGCAAGACAACAGATTTAAAATGACTAAGTAGTTTTTGAATTTTCAGTTCTCATGATTTAATATTTATGTTTACTCTCTCTTGATTATTTGAAACAGGGTCTCACTACATAGCCAAGGCTGGCCTGGAGTTCTGAAGTATGTAGTGTAGGCTAGCTTCAAACTGGTAGTAATCCTCCTGCCTCACTCTCCAGAATCCTGAATGTACAGGTTCGAGTCACTGTGCCTGGTGATTCTGCCTGGCCCCTCTCTGTCTCTGTCTTTATTCATATATTCTCAAATGATTTTATTTTATTATTTTCTGTGTATGAGTGTTTTGTATGCATGTATGTCTGTGCATCACATGTGTGCAGTGTCTCCAGGAGGATGTCAGATCCCATGGGACCAGCATCTTCTGTCAGCCACCATGCAGGTGCTGGGGATCAGACCCAGGTCCTCTGGAAAAGCAGCCAGTCACTCCTGAGCCATCTCTCCAGACCCCTGGTGATTCTCTTTTGGTTAAATATCTCAACCCAGGTGAGCGTTTCTTTGTGTCCCTGTCAACATGTCAGTTTTATTCTGATACGTTTCAGAGTTCTAGAGTCTTCTTACCATATTGAGAAAGCAAAATCACCCATATTCCATGAAGGGTCAAATGATGCTGTTCTCATAGGGTCAATGTCTACTTTAGTACATTTTAAAACATAGACAGTTTTTGTTTGTTCTGCTATCTGCTTGTGCATTCATGGGGGCCTACCCATTTTTCATCTTTATTTATTCTTTTCTGCCCAGCTGGCACAATACCTGTGCCATGAGATGTGTCTAGGAGGTTTTGAGAAAATTCTAATGTATGGGATCCACAACTCAGGAATACTGGGTGGGAAGTCAAATGGGAATGAGTGTGTGAATTATCCAGAGATTTTTAAAATAACTCCAATGTGATAAAAATTTAAATTACTAAGTCAGTCAGTTCAGTATAAGATTCGTTTTCACTTAACCAATCTCTGAATTTTGGGTTTACAAGCAAAATAGTAAAAGGTGGTGCTAGAAGTGGCCTTTCACAGGGGTGTAACATTTCCCTCCCCCCATGAAAAAATGGGTACCACTAGAGGTCACTACAGTTATTAGCAAGTAGGTGGCTAAAGCCCTTTGCAAACCCTAAGGATTCGCCAGCCACAGGAGCATGGCAATGGTCTGCATAAATACACTGCTGACTGCCCTGCTTCCCATTGTGATGTACCCTTTATCTGCCAGTTCTTTTGGGCCTTGCTGGAGACTGAGCAGCCGATCATAATTACAGGACCGTGGTGATTGTGTGTTTATGTTCCCAGCAATATTATAATATATTGTTCCGCATTGCTATCCTCTTTACTTGTCGGTGAGACCCGAACTGTCATTGCCATTTTATAAACCATGAAACAGAGGCTCAGAGGACTGACAGACTGACACAGCTAATGAGGGACAGACCTGGGATTGAAACAAAAGACCCCATTTTTACAACAATCTGATCCTATTACCAACACAGGAAGGCACTTGCCTGTCTCTTCCCATTTTTAAATGATGATGATGAGTGTGTGTGTGTGTGTGTGTGTGTGTGTGTGTGTGTGTGTGTGTGTGTGTGTGTTGGGGCGAGTGTGATTGCAGAAGTCAGAGGAGGACTTTCTCTCCTTCCACCTTTATGTGGGTTCAGGTTGGTAGGCTTGGTGACACGCACTTTTACCCCCAAACCATCTCTTCAGCTCCTGGTTCCCATTGTCATAACAGTTGGAAGTACGGTGTCGGTGGGAAAGTTCAGGAGTGCCTGTATGTGGCAGAAAGAATATGTCAGCTTCTGTGACGTCACAGTGTGGCAGCAGATCGCCAGTGTGCTGAGCTGCAGGGACGTCTACTGGCAGGGAGAATACCCGGGTAGGGACAAGTATAGAGAGTGAATCTGGCAGGTTCAAGGTAAGATTTTCTATTTGACATATCAGCAGGGCCAGACAAGAGAGAGTCCGTCACTACAGAGTGACTCACAGAAAAGAAAAGGAGAACAGATTATTCCAACCTGCCTCGCCACTGGTTCAGCACAGCAGCAGCGTTAAGTATTAAAAGCCAAGAAGGAGCCTTTTCTAGAAGATCTCAGAAGGTGGGCTGAGACCCAGGAGCTGTGATTCACACCCTGCTCTAAGCAACTGAAAAGCCCTATTGGCTAATCAAAGCACTATTTTTTTCTTTTCAAGGAATGATGATATCTGCGTATTTACATAATACTGGTGTCTGTGGCAGGCCTGGCTTAGCAGATGAAGAAATGGGAGCTGAGAGGATTGAAAGACGCTCGCCCTAGGTTACAAAGCAAGTCTACACAGAGTGCAGAACCATAGTTCCCAATTCCCACCGGATCCTCCGCCTCCTAGCACTCAGCTTGATCATCCTTTGCATTGACCTTGGAAGCCCCTCTTGGAGCCCTCCCTCCCAGGACACACTCTCAGAGGGAGCCACACCCTAACAAGGGAGGGCTTCTGCAGTCAAGAGGAACCCTTCTTCACTCTGACCCCTCTACAAGCTGGGTCACAGCTATCCCTCACACAGTTGTCACACTTGGCACCTGGCTGGCATGTGCCTCTGGAATGGAAAGTCAAGAGACTTTCAAAGTTTCATATACAATAACAGGAAAAAAATTAAACAAAGGAACATTTCTAGCAGCGGTCCCCACCTCTGAGCTGTTCCTTTGCGTTGATGGCCAAGGCTCTGCATACCTAAAATCCCTGGAGAACAGGGGAGACTATAAACCCACATCCACTGTTTGCTCTGCCCCACAGTGGAGGAAATACTAACTGTTAAAAAACTTTCGATTCTAGCATAGTTGCTGCATTTCAGAATATTCTAGAATGGCAAATAGAGTTGAGAAGGTGAAAAATAATGAAACTATAGTGTATTTATCTCGTAACTCCTACCACTGCATTAGAGCAGACTTTGCTAGAAAAATGTTGAAGTAGCATTTTCATGTTTTAGTTTTGACATATAAAGAACAATAAAGTTAGCAGACTATAGGTTCTTTGTAAGTTGAGGCTGGAGAATAGGATTTAAAGGGAAAAGAAAATTTGTCAGACAGGATGAGACATGCCTGTAATCCCAGACTGAAGCAGGAGGATCATCAAGAGTTCAAGGCCCATTTGGGCTACATAGTGAGATCATATCTCAAAACCAAACCCAAACAAGACAACAAGAAAATTAGGTAAGATAGTGTATCATAAGTAGTGGTCTGTACTCCCTATTTGAGAGGCTCACTGGTTGTTACAACTTAAGAGAATTTTCATACCAAAAAAAATAATACTTTTACTGTAAAGAACATCAAATGAGCTTAATTCAATTCTCCAGGTAGTGGGAATGGCTGGGAATCCTCTGGACAGGTATCAGAAGCATCAGTCCATGGTGCATGCCAATTTCTCAGGTCCTCCATGTCTCTCCCTATACAATCTGAAAAACGGTGCCCTCTGTCCTATTTCGTTAATCTATGTTGGCCTAGAACTCACACTGTAACCAATGCTGGCCTCAAACTTGGACAGTCCCTCTGCTTGCACCTTCTAAGTGTTGGTGGTTGTAGGCAGGATCTGCTACATATGGTTTAATAAATTTTTTTGAAAACATAATTCCATACCATAGATATTTTGTAAAGATCAAAAGAGCATCTAAGGCTAACAGAGAAATTCAAGAATTTTTTATTGCGTCACTTGATTGTATTATTTTCATCTTAACAATTCTGTTACATCGTCCTACTTTGTAACAGAAAGATATATACAATTTTTGGAAGGACATATCTGATTGCAAACAGGAGGTAATGTTGAATAAGTTACTTTAAGTCCCCAGATTGAACTAGAGTCCTCACTGGAGTAACAGTAGCCTGTGCTTTCTTCTTACCAGGACAAAAGCCCTGGCATTCTCGACACCTTTTATTTTCTCATGCTCCACCCCAGCCAGATTCATTCCAGTAGGAGAACCTGTGGTTGTTATCTCTGAGATGGATCTGGAGCCTGTCCACCTCTCACCGCCTCTGTCGGTACCTGTCTGCTACTAAGCGGTATGCAGATTGCTGAGGAGATCGACCTGCTTCAACGTGAACAACTACCCACAGACCGGCTCTCCAGGCAGCAGACAAAAGGGCAGGTTAGACCGTGTCTCTCTTCTTCTCCACACCCTCCTGTGGCCCCCAGCTCACTAAGAGATGCGAATTCCTCCAGTGGGCAGGAAGACCTCTGCCTAGGGCCAACCTGGGCTGCTTGTCATTCCACGGACATTGTCCTCTCATCCTGGGTCTGTCACACCTGGGTTCCGTGTCAGGGAGCCGTTTCCCCTGGTTGTGCTCACATTTTCTCCTGATTTCACTCACTCAATCTTGTGTGTACTAGAGGTCATTCCTTCAGTGACATCTTCCCCTAGCAGCACATTGAAAATAGAAAGTTGCCCTAACCCTCAGACAGGACATTTCTTCTCTGTTTTGTTGGTCTCTAAGCTGCTTACCAACTTCCCACCCTCTGACACCTAATTCACTTATTTTGTGTGTGTGTGTGTGTGTGTGTGTGTGTGTGTGTGTGTGTGTGTGTGTGTTTGGTTTGTATCTTTTGCTCTTCTCTACCTTCATTATCTATCAGCCCTAAAAGGAAGGGATGCTTGCCTCTTCTGTTTTCTGCTCATGCCCAGGTCTAAGACTTGCGCTAGACACATAGTTCTTACTCAATGAAGATTCACTGAATGAATGATACAATGCACATCTAGATATTTGCAGCTTCCAGCATGCGACTTCCCTGAAAACTAGATGAACTGCCTGGTCAGTTTTTTCTAGTCCAAGGACAATCAAGACAGGTATTTTATGTACCTTTTTTAGGGGGACAGGAGGCTTCGGGCAGTTGTCTTCCTCGATGCCCGATAAACACTAGAGACAAACCATCAAAAGAACCGAGGAACTATCTTTTTGGCCTTTTTTCTTCATACCCCTACCCCCAAACCTCTCTAGAAGGAAATGGTAAATTTTAGTACAGATTATGTTATTGTTTACCGGAGGCCCATAACTTCCATTCTACATTATAAAATTATGGGTTTTGTTTTTCAGACGTAATCTTACAATTTAGTCCAGGCTTGAAAAGTCATGATCTTCTTGCCTCAGACTCCTAGACTGAAATTACATGTGTACCACTATGTCAGACTTAAAACCATTGCTTAAAAGCCTTGTGTGGTGGCTTTCACTTATAACCCCAATAGTCAGGGTTGTCTGAAATTCAAGACCAACTTATTCTACAGAATGAAACCCTGTCTCAAAACAACAAACAGTGTAATTGTCATTTGAAAGAATAATTTGCCTAAAGAAGTTGAATTCTTTTCAAACAGTATCATTTGTGTAGAGAAGCATGTCTTTTTATAGTTTATTTTACAGGCACAGAGGCCCTGCCCAACTTGGTTTTCTAATATTTGCAATTATATTAATATATTTAAATTCATGAAGTTTTCGATCACAGCTCAAACTCCATTCCAACCACAGAAAAGACTTTTCCAGGCTTGGAAGATGACTCTGTGGATGAAGAGCTTGCTATGCAAGCAGGAAGACCAGAATGTAAATCCCAACACCAATATAAAAGCTGGGAATAGCTCTGTAATCTCAGCTCTGGAAGACATCTAAATTCAACCTCTGACCTCCACAGACACAGACACATGTGTATCCATGCACCTATACACACACGTACACAGCACTCCTCTCGCCACACACACACACACACACACATCCACTCACACACGATCAAGGACAGGAAACATAAAAAGAAATCCCACCAGTATCCGAAAAGTCCTGTTTGGCCCTCAGGAAGATCTTTTGAACTCTCAGGTCAATACAGTACACCCTGTTACACCAGAAGTCAGGGCAAATCACCCCTCAGGAAGCTCAGGTACCAGGATAACCGGAGCACTTTTCAAAAAAGATTGAGTTTGTGGGGCAGGGTGAAAACTGCTTCTCTGTTTATCCAGGTACCTGGGAATGATAACGAGCCCCGATGCTATCAAGATGTCCCCTTTATAATGATGCACGATGTGGCAAGACGGAGGCTGTTTTTCCTGCTGCTTTTCCCAGGGTAGCTTTCAGAAAACAAGACATCAGCTCTGTGAAGCAATGCCCCCAGAGCTTATTCACAGAACTGTGGTCGTAACACAGAGAGATGTTCAGAAGTTATCAGATCTGCTTTTTCCCTTCTGGCGGGATGACACCATCCATACGCCATGTTGTAGGAGACGACTCAAGGGCTCTAGATCACTGTTGCTCCGGTGGCAAAAATAACCGTCCATGCCACGCCTGGCTTAGGTCCTTGCATTCCCAGAAAGAACATGGCTTTCATAGGGCCATAAAACAATCAGCTGAGGGCTATAATTAGCAGAGAGAATTAAATGTTATAAGTCCATGGAAGAAACTATAACCAAGTTCACCTGGACGTGGTGTGTTTGGAGGATGGGAAGATCAAGGAGGAATATAAAAAAGAATGTTTCAGAGAAGTGCTGATTGTATGGATAATTTGAAGAATACATTTAATATTTCCTGGCAGAGATATTTAAGAAAGTTATTCCAGGTTGTCTCAATTTAAGAAGCATGAGGCAGGGACATCATGCCGTGGTTGAAGGATGATGAAAATTTTCCCTTAGTGAATGTGTAGAGGATAAAGAGGAGGAAGAGACATTTAGAAAAGTAGATGGGTACAGATCTTAAATGATTCACTGTGTTGCAATGAGATTTTTTTTATAAGGATTTGGATTTTATCCTTAAGGCAATGGGGAGCATTCAAGTGTTTTAAGAAGGGCAGCAGAGAGATAAGATTTATCACCTAGAAAGATCACTCTGGCACTGCTTGGAAGCAGAACTGGAAGCTAGCCAAAATAGAGACAGAGGTATGAGGAAGCCTCTATTTGCCACCAGGTAGGAGGTGAATGGGACTGTTTCTGGAGTGCAGAAAGGAGGTTAAAACTAGCAGACATGCAGAAGAAAGATCAAACAGAACTTGCTGTTTTGTGGGAGTAAGAAATGTGGGAAGACAAGCTTTAACATGAGTAAAATCACTTGAACAAAGTGATGGAGGAAGAGGTCTGACCTGGTATCACAAACACTTAAGGGAGAGAAGTTCAGAGATGACGTCTAGAGGAGAAAGACTGATAACAGAGTTGATGTATACAGATGAGAACATTTGGATGAGAGAGCTGGTTAAGAGCATCAAATGGGGCAGAGAGGTTGAGTATGATGAGGATTGAGATGAGTTTTATAGATTCGTCATGGAATAGATGAATAAGGCCATAGAAGGGCAGACAGGGGAAGAAAGTGTATTATTTTAATAAAGGTGTGTGTGTACATGTGTATGTGTGTGTGTGTGTGTGTGTGTGTGTGTGTGAATATGTGTTCATGTGTGGAGGTGTGTGTGTGTGTGTGTGTGTGTGTGTGTGTGTGTGTGTGTGTGTGTATTTGCTGTTCCAGATGGAGAAGAGCTAAGCTTTCCACATTGAACCCAGAGTACAGAGCTCTTTACAACAAATCTAACCAATATACATTAGAGGGTGGAGATAATGACCATAAGTTTCAAGTGAGATTGGAAGGGTCCTGGTCTATGTGGTTGAAGAGAGGTGTGGCTCCCTCAAAGAGGAGGGGTGACGGCACTCTCCTAGGAGGCCAAGTGGTGAGGTGAGAAAGACAGAAATAAGTGACTATTTCCATGACTATCCTGAGAAACTAACTCAACTCCTGTCGGTGAGTAGCTGCAGGGTGGTGTTGATGGTTCAAAGATCAAACTGCAGCGTTCACCACTCTGGAGGACCACAGGCAATGTGTGGGGGTCCATTTGAGTTGGAAATCATTAATGGCCATGTCCTGCCCCAGGCTACAACATCTCTTGTGAGTCCTTGTTCATTCTTCAAAGTTCAGTCTGGCCATCTTTTGTTTTATTCTGTGATCTGTGGTAGAAGTTATTCCAATATTTTATTCATTTTTGAATCACTAGACTTGAATGGCTGGAGCATACAGCATGTTTAATAACTGTTTTCTAGAGAGATGGGATGCTCTAATTCCTAGAAGAGCCAACGCTAATTTAAGTAAATTGTTTAAGTCCCTGAAGTTAGTCTCCCCTTCTCATGTATCTTCTTTGCCCCATGGTTTTATCTCTTGGCATCTTTGCTGTCTGCTTTTATTATAATTTTTTTTATTATAAAAATCATCTCTTTTCTATGTCCTCAGCAGTTGTCTTCATCTTTGAGACAGTCACTTTACCTGGAATGGTGGTGCACTGCTACAATCTTAGGTCCTGAGTTCAAGGCCAGCCTGTGTCTCCGTAGTGAATTCTAAGCTAGCCAGGCTCACATAATAAGACCCTGCTTTAAAAGGAGCCCCAAAGAGTTGTCCTTGCTCTCAGCTTCGCTGTCATTTTCCACCAAAGCTCCACTGCCATCATTAACCTAATGCCAGCAGTCCTGAGAATGTGACTCCTGCCAAACATGTTTGCTGTCAGAATGGAAGATACTGCCGTGAGCCTGCTGAAGCCATTGAAAAGTCCCAGTACTTCTTTCCGTGTGGCTCTGCCTTAGCACCTTCGTTAATTCTCTCATCTAGTTTCTCAAGGAAAAAGTCACCATCACCCACCACTTTCTCCTTCCTGGAAATCAGCTGACCTTGCCCATTATTTGGGAAAGAAATGAAAAAAACAAAACAAAACACGTGGCACACTTCTTCAATACATGCTGAGTAAGTGTGTATATGAAGGGCATCCATGCTGCAAAGTACCAATTCCATGCCTCTCTTCCGTGTTGCACAGTAAACCTTCACTTTATGGCAAGGTCTTTGCTTCCTGTTCTCAGCAGCTGTGAGTTTTACTGGAGCTGGTGTTGACAGGAGAGATCCCTGAAGGTTCTCTGTAATTCTGCTACATTTATTAGTGTCAATACTGGGCCAATACTCCTTTTCTTTGAAATACCCATGTAAGTCTAACACGAAATGATGGCCATATAAGCAGAGACCAACAGGAGGAGATGAAGTGCTTACATAGAAATAGGGAAACTTTAAACAAAGCATGAAACGAAGACACTTCGTCAGTAGAATTTCTAGTGAGCCACCAGAGTTGGCCCCCCTTTGCCTATGCTTGAGTGGGGCAAGTCATTTTCTGTAGAGGCTCTTCCTTGGATATGCTGCCACTATTTTTGAATAATTCTGGACGATTCTTCTATCTTTATAAAGGTGATCATCCTCAGAACTAGTGATGTAGTTTCCCTTTGAAGCTAAGTCATGCTTTTGCTGTTTTTAACTGCTATGCAGAAAATAATACTTAACATTCTTTTGTATTCATAGGAGTTCCCAATGCCAACTTGAAGAACTTGGGTCTTTCATTCTATCTATTTTTCTAAATCAATTTTTTTCTTCAAATACCCTTCTCTTAGTGACTCCATCGTTTGCATTTTTAGGGAGAATCTATGGGAACTGGTAAGTATTCAAGGCTGGATTTGCCTTGGATATCCAAGGATGGATGGATGCTGATGGATGCTGAAACCAGCTCATTTGAATCTCCGTTCCCTGAGACTTTACCACCTGGCTCCATCCCTCATTTTCTCACTGTCAGATCCACAGAGATGTTGCATCTGGGTTTACAACTGGATCTTTATCCAGGACAATTCACCCACCAATCGAAGTGAACAGACCCAGGAAGACAAAGATCCCCCATCAACACCGCCTGTCCTCCAGGTCCTTCACCTCTTCTACTTCTATTGAATGTTTTCTTTTCTTCCTTCCCCTCATAAACCATTATTCACCAGAAGGTTGTGTCCACATTAACACTTTTGAAGAAAAGAAGAAGAAGGAAGGAAGGAGGGTCAGAAGGAAGGGAGGAGGAGGAGGAGGCAGCACAAGCTCATTGTGCTTGGTCTTGTTTTTAGGACAAGGTTTTCAAAAACATTGGCTGTTGAGCTGACACCACATGTAGAAGAAACAGCCTCGAGAGAACGTTGCAAAACTGCAACATGCTTGGGATGGTCGGAATTTAACTTCGTGTGATCATCACCCCTAAAAATAGTTTCCTTTCTTTTGCTAATAACATTTGAGAATGCTGATAAAGTCAGCTGAGAGGGTCAGAAGAGGAAAGCTCATAAATTACAGCCTTCCACTCACTCACAAAGCCACAAACATGCATATTGGGAAATCGCAAAAGAATTACGGGACACAAGTTCTGTGATGTGAAAGGGTAGGAAGTTTATATCCTTTTCCTCCTTGAGCTAGGTGGAGGGCTTGAAGTGAATCCTGCCTGATGATCTCTATCTAAATCAATTTTGATAGTGCCAGTTCACATACATTGTTAACTTACTAGTGGGGGAAAAAAAGAAAGAAAAAGAACAAAGAATAAAAACAAGGAAGACAGATCCCTGGCATGCCCTTCAGACTCAAAGCAGCCAGGCTGGAGGCGAGGCGTGATTCCATAGATAAACGCTCCTGCCTGGCCAGGCTGGCCTTCGGCCTTCCGAATGTAAAGCCTGAAGCAGCAATGCAAACATCTGTAGTACCTGCGCCCCCTACTGGCCATAGAAGGTGGCGACAGGAGACTCCTTAGACTCTCCCAGCCAGCTAACTGATCCATCTCAAACAAGTAAAAAGATGACATCAGACTCCTAGAAGATGTCTTCTGACCTCCATATGAACACTCACACACAGCTGCATGCACACTCACATATCCCACACACAAACAAAGTTTTAATAATAATAAAGACGATAATGACAATGATGATACTAGGTCCACCTGTACAACCCACCCACATGTCTTCTTGTACCAAGTGGGGGGCCAGGGCTTCCTCTGCTTCGGCATACCTATGAGGACTGGGAGCCTCCTCCACGAGATTTGTATGCTCTCTGCCTTGGTCTGACAAGCCTTTGGCAGTGGGTAGTGGTTAATGCAGACTCAAAAGTGTTCAAGATGCTGAGAATAAGTGAATGTCAATGCTCAACCATGGATAGAGCGTGTATAATGCTCCTTCCTCACCCCCACCCACTAAGGCTCAAAGAACAACACAGAAGTGGGGTTGAAAAGCCAAAGCATGGAGAGGACCGCTGTCTGTGGACACACGGGTGTGCTGCACACACAAACTCTTAGCAGCTGTAAATACCTACCTGAGACCTGCACAGGATGAAGCCGGCTACAGTTTCCATCTTGGACAGGGGAAGGACTCCTGAGACCCCATTGGCTGTTGGGGCAAGGAGAGTCACTTTGTATTTGGGGCGGGGTAGGTTGTCTCATTCCTGTGGGAGACCGCACACCTACGCACATCTGGGCAGCACTGAAAAAAGCAAAACAGAAGAGGATGTGGAGTTGGGGGAGAGCCGCGGTGAGAGGTTCTGAGGGGAGCTGGAGGTAGGTAGGTGGGAGTGGATATTGTCATAGTACATTGTATACAGGTATGAAATCTTCTAACAGTAAAATGGATTTTTATTATAATAAATCTCAAAGCAGGAGAAATGCTGGTTAAGGAGATGAGGCCTCTCTCCAGCCTTGTCTCTCTTCCTTCTACCCATCCAAACCTAAACGTACTTAATTTTCCCTTCTTCCTCCCCTTCTGAACATCTCCTCTTCCTCACTCCTCTCCCACCATCACTTTTTCCTTTGTGTCTGGTGATTTCTTTTGTTAACAAGCTCCCATGTTTTCCTCTTCTCCAGTTGAAGCCATAGATACCTGTGCTTCCCTCCCCCAATCACAGGCAGACTTTGGGATAACCTGTCACTCTCACCATCCTCTACTTTTTTATTTTAGTGTGGGTTGACTGCATCGTTCAATTTTCAAATTGTGACACTTTGGAGAGGAAAAGGGAGGTGTTGGGGGCTGCTGCTGGCCACCTGCCCCCCCCCACACACACACTGTCTCCAGTTGCTTCTTGTGGGCCACCTGGGTTGCAAACCCAGTGACTTCTCTTTGGCTTTCCATTGCCCCTTTCACTCTACACAGAGCATCTCAGCAAATACCCTGTTTCTCCAGGTCGAGGTAGGAGGTGGAGACACACATTCTAACTTTTTCTTCTAAAGGTACATGGTTAAAAGACTGGACTCTGGCCGGGCGGTGGTGGTGCACGCCTTTAATCCCAGCACTTGGGAGGCAGAGCCAGGCGGATCTCTGTGAGTTCGAGGCCAGCCTGGTCTCCAAAGTGAGTTCCAGGAAAGGTGCAAAGCTACACAGAGAAACCCTGTCTCAAATAAAAAAAAGAAAAGAAAAAAGACTGGACTCTGGAAAGCATAGAGCTGTGTATGAAAAGCTCCTGTCACAGTGTCCATCTTGCTTCTGCTACCTGCTCCTTTAGGGTCCTTAGAGATCTCTGCATTCGGTCACCTAGACAGAACTTCAAGTGCAGTAAAAACATTACCAAAAACATATTGCAAAAAAAGTATTGCAAAAAAAAAATGTGATATATACAAGAGGGCCTGTAAAACATTTATACACCGTTTTAAAACCAGCAATTAAAAAATAGAGTAGTGCGAGCATTTTTGAAACCACCCTTCTTACTTGTAAATCCCCAATTGTGTTCCATTTCCTTCTCATTGCTAGAGCTAGCTAATGTCTTTAATTTCCTGTACAGTTTATGCTGTGAACCAGCTTTACTTTATGGGTTTACTCACCCCCAGCCCGTGTGTGTGTGTGTGTGTGTGTGTGTGTGTGTGTGTGTGTGTGTGTGTGTGTATGTGTGTGTGTGTCCTCAATAACATCTCTCTGCTCTGAGGAGTCAGCTGATACTTCCATGTAATAAGTAGAGAGAACTGTCATTCTTCCTCATATGAGAACAGACTGTTCTCTCTAAGGGAAAAACACCTAATAAAATACGATGTGTTTTTCAAATATTTAACCAAGAAGAACATCAACACATGTGTAAGGGAAGATGTTTAGGAGGAAACCCCAGCAGCAGAATTCCACTTCTCGCCCCTTTGTTGACCACTTCCGTCTATTTTGATGATCAACATTCAGTCTTCTATTATGCAGAACCTACATGAACAGCTAATGTTCTGAGGAAGCAGTGAGTGACGCGGGATTTCCCGCACAGGGCAGTCCTGTGGGCCAGAGTGGCTTAGATGAAATGACTAGCTGTGCGAGGCATGCTGACCAAGTCATCCTTCAAAGCCCTGTCCTTTTTACTGCATCCCATCCAGGGTATCCAGGGCCCTTTCCTCTTGTTATCCTCTGGACATTTTCAAACAACCATTCCCCCAGAGTAAGCTTAAGATGGGGCTTTTAAAAACATTTCCTACCAAACTGACAAAGGAATAAAGGTATGTTCGGGGTCTCTGAACAGAAGTGGGCAGTATGGTGGAGTAAATTTGTTGATTCATATGGCAGAGGGGTTTAAATATAAACAGGGATAATACTCAGCTGGTCACCTGCACTCCCTCCACTCAGTTTTAGAAACAGAGTATCATCTCATCTGTAGGAGTTAGATGGCTTCTTGTACTGATGTCTGCCCCAGAGGTAGCCAATGTCATAATTTTTGTGTCAGTCATTCCCTGGTTTTCTTTTAGAGGACACACATTCAGTCTAAGTAACATCCACGTTAGCATTTGATTTTGGTGGAAATTTATAAATATGTCACTTTCTTGAGTGAAACTATCTGTATGATAAAGTCACTAGCTCTGCTCAGATGGGCCTGCCAGTCTATACTCCTGAAGTACTATCTCCAACAAGGCTTTTCATAAACTACATTCAGCTGATTTTGAAACTTATGTGAAAGAATAAAGGATAAATGGACAGCCAATATGTTCGTGCTCCAAAGTAAGAAAAATGAGAATAATTTGTCACATAGGCATAGGAACGTATTATAAAATTATAGTAAAAAACATATTTAACAAGATGTTGCTACACATTAATAAATAAATAAAGCTAGAGCAACAGAATAGAAACACAGGAAGAAATCCATAGATATTGGGAACTTATGACAGGTGTAGTGTTTGAGATCAATTAAAAGAAGATAAGGTATGTGGGTGTGTGTGAGAGAGAATATGTGTGTGTGTGTGTGTGTGTGTGTGTGTGTGTGTGTGTGTGTGTATATGTGTGTGTGTTTACATTTACTATTTGAAACCTGTAATCATACTCTTTCCTTACACTAAATGCAAGCACTGAACTCATAAATATGGAAGCCCAAACTACATAACCTCCAGAAAAAAGAGGAGATGTATCTAGAGAGGAAATTCTGAAGCTAAATTACCCCCTTTCTTTCAGTTTCTTAAATTTACTTAGTTTATTTTTGACAATTCCATACATGTATAATGTACCTGCTCATTATTATAACACCCCCTCTTCCGGCCCTCCTACTTCTTTTTACACCCACTCCTTACCCATCAATCTCTTCCCCAGCGTCATGATGATGTTGTTGTTGTTGTCGTTTTGTTTTCTTGGGTTTCCTCGTTGATTCCCTTTGAGATCCACTGAGTATAACCAGGGTCATCTGCCTGCAGAGGTTTGGGACTGTGTGCTGGAGCCTGGTGGGTTTCTCCATGGCTGTGTCTGGATCCTTCTGCTATGGAGAAAAGTAATGCACTTTGGTAATTGATTCGACATTAGTTCTTATTTTTAAGTTAAACAATTGCTTGTGTCTTGAATTTTCACTCTAGATAATATCATCTATTTACAATGAGAGGTTGAGGCTGGGAATACAGCTTAACAGCAGAATTTTACCTAGCATGTGAGAGACTGGGTTCTAGCTAAAAAAAAAAAAATTGATAATGAGAAACTGATTTTTTTCTTTGTAATATTCAAAACTTTTCTTTATGTACACTGCACTTGGGACTTTTACTGCTTGGTGGGAAAATTGACACTGGTTGTTATGTTCATGGTCATAAAAGGAAGATTTACATTTTTATCATATATGATGTTTATACTTAAATTTTATAGATTGTTTTTCTCACATTACAGACATTGTTGTTTATTCCTACTTACTGATAGTTCATTTCTTTTATCATTGATGATCTTTACATTATGCAATTTACATTTACATTATGTCCATTATGCAAGCACAGTTGTAATTTTACAGTTTAATCTTGTTTTAACTTGTTAAATCAATTCATTACACTAATCCTGACCTGTGATTTTCCTATTTTGTTCTGTCCTTGGCTCATTTTTATTTCAAGGTTATGCAATTCTCATAAAATATGCTGGGAAATAATATGTCTTTTTCTAGTCTTGAAAAAGCTTATGTAAGAATGTTAACAGTAAAATCTGACATGAGACTCTCTCTCTGGGAGTTGACTTTTAACTACAGATTCAGTTGTGGTCTTGACATAGTAGAGATTTCTGTTTCCTCCTGAGTTGTTTCTGTGTTTTCGAAAAGCTCATACGATTCCTTTATAAACGTGCTGGCCTAAAGTATGCATAATATTTAAAATTTTATTTTCAGTGTCTCTGACAACAGAATTTGTTCTCTTTTCTCTCTCTGTTTTTCTCAATATTCTCTGCTGTTCCTCCCGCCCCCGCCCCATACTTTTTTGGTAAATCTTTCCAGAAGTTTCTCTCTACAAGCCTTTGAAATTTGATTTCTATTTTTATTTACTTTTATAATTGTTTTATTTCATCTTTTTTGGATTTATTCTGTTGTTTTTTTTTAAAAAAAAATTTAGGTTGGTATTTATGCCATTTATTTTAAGCCCCACCTCCCCACCCCCAAGGATTACTTTTCTCTTTCTAAGACTTGCTTTGATTGCAGCCTACATTTTTTAATCTCCTTTTAAGAATTTCATATATGTGTTATATTTACACCATTTCTGCCCTACCTCTCCTCTTTCTAACTCTTGTGACCCCCACTGCACAAATGTATACCTTTTACCCTTACTTTTTTATTGTCACATATACATATGTGCATAAATTTATATCTACCACCCCCAGAGTTCACTTAGTGCTGCTTATATGTATATGCGTTTAGGTCTGACCACTTGAGATTGGATGGTCTATCAGGAAGCTTATCCCTGGAGAAGCCTGGTTTTCTCTCTTTAAACAGCCATGAATTCATTGCCTGGAGCTCTTCATCTAGGGTAGAGGCCTTCCTACATTAGCGTGTTAACTGGTGTCATTTTTCAGGTATTGTTGAATATTGTGGATTTCATGGGTGTAGCTGCTTTTTCATATATAGAACACAGTGTCTCATAGCAGACACCCCGGTTCACTGGCTCTTACACTGTGCTCCCTCTTCTGCAGTGCTCCTTACACTGTGCTCCTCTTCTGTGGTGCTCCTTACACTGTGCTCTCTCTTCTGTAGTGCTCCTTACACTGTGCTCCCTCTTCTGTGATGCTCCTTACACTGTGCTCTCTCTTCTGTGGTGCTCCTTACACTGTGCTCCTCTTCTGTGGTGCTCCTTACACTGTGCTCCTCTTCTGTGGTGCTCCTTACACTGTGTTCCTCTTCTGTGGTGCTCCTGAAGCCTCAGGTGTAGGGCTGTGCTGTAGATGTATCGCTTGAGGCTGGTCACCCCATAGTCAGTTGTTCTCTGCCTTTTGACTAGTTGTTTGGTTCCAGGCTTTCAATTCTTAATTTCTTTTATGTGTATGTGCTGCTTGCTTGTCTGTATGTACAATACATTCATATAGTGATATTAGAGGCCAGAAGGTGGTGTCAGATTCCCAGGAACTGGAGTTCAGGTGGTTGTGAACTTCCTGGTGTGGGTGGTGGGAACTGAACTCAGATCCCCTGTAAAAGCCACAAGTGCTTTTACCTTCTAAGCTCTCTTCCTAGCCCTACGTATTTTTTTAATTTAGCATTTTTGTTAACTTTGGTAGTATAAACATTGAGGCAATTATTTGGACATTTTATTTACATGATCTGACAGTATGTTGAGATCTCTAGGGCACAGAAGATGGTTTTCATAATTTCTAATGCATTTATTTCTCTTAACAAAGATACTCCTCAAGTAAATAATTGCAGGTTTCCTTTTCCTCTTATGCATGGTTTAAAATGGTAAATGCTAAGACTGCACAGTTAAAATTGCAAAATGTTCTTACAAAGATGTTTTTGAATTTTTCCCACCCAAACCATGAAGACAGACTGTTTGACTGTATGTATCAAGGACAACCAAGAGTGCCTGTATTCTCCACCCACCTCCTTCCTCATAGGTACTTTCACTCTTGCTGGTTGATCCTTCTTACAGGGCTGAAAAAAATCTGTTTTGTTTTTAGACTTAAATATGAAACTGCCAAATATCTTTAGCAAGCTATTTAGGCTTTACAAACCTGTTTCCTTATTTATAATATCAATATCCTAGAATTTTTCCAAGAATTTCATGAATGTGGAGACACTTTTTTAAAAATCAAAGTCCTTCCGAGATTATAGACTTGTCCTGTGCCAGGACTCATACTTCTATGCTTTGGTTCTTTCTCTCACGCTTTCCCAATTTCCTTACAAAGTCTTTACTTTTCCTCCCCAAGGAATTTTCTTCTAAGGAATCTCACAGTTCCCATCTTTCTGGAAGAAGAGACCCTTAGAGTCTTCAAAGCCACTCTCCTTGTAGAGACGTATGGAGAAATCCCCGCAGGACCGGGTGGGGAATGAGACAGGAGAGTGGGAGATAAAATGAGAATGACTAATGTTCACCATCAACATGTATACAATGGTCAATGAACGGAAAAATAAAACAGAGCAACACAGAGCTGTAGCATGTGTGGCAGGATGTAGGCTGCGTAGGCAGCTGGGTTGATACCTGCCTTATAAGCACCATCCTGGTATATTAACTAATGTTATCACTATTCTCTCCATCACTGTATGCTAGTGAGCTAAAATAAATGAGTACCGTTAAAAGAAAATCCAGAGAAAGGCCATATAAAGGTCTACAAATGTAAATGGTGGAGTAGATAGACCAAGGGAAAGACCAGAGGTAGAGGTCTCAAGACATTTGTTCTGATGATCTCTGCAATTCTTGCTCCATGATGCATCCATTTTACTTTTTTACTGAGTTCTTGAGGCATTTGCTGGTAATGTACAACCACTTTCGGAGGTCTACACCCACCAGTGTTCCACTACAAGCCTGCTACAAAGAGAGCCTTCTTGTGGGGTTTAAGGATAGCTTTGGTCCACAGCATCCCTGTGAATGAAATTATGAACCTCAAGGCACCAACCTATGGATCTAGAAACACAATAAACACCAGTCATTAAAATGTAGTCCTACAATGGAATCCAGATCTTCAACAGCACGTCTTAGATATATCATGTGAGAACTGGGGAGGAAATCTCTCCCGATTGTCATCTACTTCATCCCCCTGGGGAAAACAGCCCGGAGTAAAAAGTCACATAAAGACAATCTAACAGACTTCATTAAATTGATATTGGTGGGTTGCTAGCCAGAGTCACCCACTGAATTTCATTTGGTCCATTGCACTTAAAGTCACATCTGCTTTCATATTTGCCCCTTAAGATATGGGACCTTGGTGGACATCACCTAAATATATACAGAAAGATGGTTTTTGTTTGCCTGGGTAGCAGCAGATGTTTTTGGCTGAAAGAATGCACTCCAAGATGTTTTAGTATCCTTATCATTGCAGCATCCTCTGTGAGCTGTTGCATGTTCTAGGAACCAACTTCATTCAAAGAGAGGGTACACACAGGCTCTGGTCAGTTAGGTTAGCCTAGAAGATGACTTGGTCTCTTTTAGAGCAGGGTGGGCCACCGCCTGTGCATGTGAGCAGTCCGGGTGTCCCCTGTGGGACTCCAGCATCCTTGAGCTCGAGGGCACCACGAGTCTAGTCATTGTGCACTGTAGAGAAATCAAAGAATTCCAGAGCAAGGCCCTGGAATGCCTGGCTGCCTCCCAGGTCTCTTATGAAGAAATAAATCCCATTGTTGCCTCCATCCCCCCACCCCCCCCTTTCCGTGCGCTGGGTCGGAGTCGGCGGCGCGGAGTCGCTTACTGTACCAGCACCTCTCTCCCTCCGAGCAGGCAGCTCAGCCACTCCAGGAAGCACGACATCTAATAACATAAACTCAGAGTGCTCCCCACATTCATCTTCTACACAGACCCGCCTGTCCTGTCAGGACTCCAGTGCTTCGTGACTGTCCTCATGCTCCGGAGGGCTGCGTGGTCACCCTTCCATTGCTTTTTGAACCCATCCCAAGCTTGTGTCAGAAGCGCGGGTGATGGATTCCCCGAGCCATTAACGTGAGCCATGGATTAGAATATACCACACATTTACGCCGCATGGGCTGGTAAACAACACAGCGTGTACTCGACTTCATAAACACGCTGCCTTGTTACAAAGGCCACTGCAAACGCAGTATGATAGGACTTGACCTTAAAAGCTATCGACAATCTAGCCCAGCACAGACGGTTTCGTGGAGTACAATCACTTCCTGGAATTCTTGGGCCAGCGAAGTCGGAGCCGAGCAAATCCTGTTTTCCTTGCATTGTTTCCTGCATGTGAATACCATCAGTCTAGCAGGTCTGTAACCATGGCACCTGTAAATAGCCCAGGGGTGACTTCTGATAAAGGCATGCCCTGTAAGATTTTTTTTTTTTCTTTTTCTTAGACAAGTCCACTTCA